ACGAAAGCCGCGAACTTAGCCATGGATCGACCCCCGCATGAAAGAGGGCCCCTTGGTGATCATCTTTGATGCCATGGTTCGTTAGCAGGAACCTCAGGTCCGAGGCTCCCAAACCGAGCTTTTCTGCTAGAAGTGCCATAACGCACCTGGCCCCCCTTTCCAAAAACAAACACAAGCTTGATGCAAAATCTAGCATCCAATCTGCAAAATCGATCAGACATGTATCTGTCCAGACCGGCGCAGATGTAGCCCTTCCGGTTTGGACATGTTTAAATAGCTAGTAGCGGGAAGACTAGTAAGACAGTGAGTTCCCCATAAGGCCAGCTCGCCGGCCGATACTTCTTCGACAGCTACAGCTCGAGCCGGAGAGCGCGATACTTCCGTGCACCGGCCCAGTTGGAAAAGGGTCGATAGGCAGCTTAGCCGGCCGCCAAGGCAGAACGCCTCATCCGACAGTATTCGCCACTGACGCGGAGGTGGACGCTATGACACAGCGGCTGCGAGACGACCGCTACCAGCGCGACTCCGAGAACCTGGCCCAAGCCGTGAAGGAACCTGGCCCAAGCCGTGGAGGAGGACCTGGTCAATCGATTCAAGGCCTCGCTAAGGGCGCAGCCCGCTACTGCTGAGGAAGAGGCTATGACTGGTAAAGCCACCGCTACTGTAATTGGTGGGGCTACGATGCCTCCGGCTGTGTCGCGCTAACGAGGAAACGCCGTTCCTCGTCACCCTCTGGGAGGAAGGGGTGACGGGGAACGGCAAGCTAGGAGAGACCCGAGAGGCCACCCGCTCAGAGGGGCGCTACAGATAGGAGGCATTCCTCCGAGAGGTGGCTCGCTAAGAAAGTGCCCAAGCACGTCAAACGCTACTTCTTTGTTGGTGAGCAGGGCAGAGCCGATATGAGCTACCGCAACACGCCGGACAGCGAGAAGCCTTCAGGGGCGCTAAGTGGCCCCGGCCACGAGCCGGCAAGGGAGTGGGCAAGGCGACCCACGCAGCCCACGCTATCCAGGACAGCTATGGTCCTGGCGATATTTTGGATGATGAGGATCCAAAGGATCCGAGATTTGACCCGAGGAGGTTCATCCCGAACTTCGGGTCGATAATTTTTGAAGACGGCGTCACAGGCAGGGACCGCTATGATACACACAACGAGATTTTCCGTTGTGTTCTTCGATGCCCGCACTGCCGGGCCGATATGTGCAACCGCAGGATGTGGTACGCACTCGATAATCACCCCCAGCATTATTGCAGGAGCTCCTGCTGGGGCTAGGGGGCCAGCCGGACTGACCCCGCTAAGTATCCTATCCTCCCCGCTAACCCCCTTTGTTTTGGATAGATAGCCGTAAGCGCTAAACCCGTGAAAGGGGGGGGGGGTCGATAGGATACGCTAGGTGCAGCTACAGATTTGTTTTTGCGAGAAGGAAAAAGAGCGGACGTTTCTTAGTCCGATATTGCACTGTCGCACCGACCTTCCAACTAGGGCCGCGGAGCCAGCTAGAGTTGGAGGGGTACAGGCCCCGGACTGGGGTAGACAGGGGGGTGCCCGAGACCGGAGGATCGGGGACCGCTATTTCCAGACGCCCAATGTGTGGATACACGGATACGCGGATGTGCAAGTTCCTTTTTGCAGTGCATGTTGCTAGAGCGAGAGATAGAAGACAGAGTGCTTGCAAGCGCATGTCGGCTAGTACTATGTGGCTTGACCACTGGAGAACTATCTATTTCCGCTAGTGGGGCCAGAAGGCCTCGGCCATGGCCGCTACAGAAACTTTTGAAAGGGCGGTCGCCGCTAGCGAGCCCTCTCGGGCCTTTGAGAGCATAAGCCGCACATCGTCTATCTGGTCTGGGCGCAGAGCACCTTTGACCATATCTGACACCTTGTCGGTGTCATCTCGGGTGGCCTTGGCCACCAACTTTATCGCGTCGATTAACGACACATTGTCTGACATAGCGGGGGTCTTTAACGGCGCCCCGAGTCCCCAAAAGTACAATCTATCGGGGGCCTTTCACGGGCGCCCCCCTTCTCCCAACTCACTTAAAAATCTTGATCAAGCCGAAGCTATCGGAGCACAAACTTTCCCAATTACCTAGCTAGTAGCCATGTCCTGCTAGTGTAGCGGCAAGACAGTGCAACGCACAACCGGCGCAGAGTATAGAAGTAGCTTGCCCTGCGAGTAAGAATTAGCGGCAACAAGGTGCAAGACAAAACCGTAGCAAGCACACGCCGAGACATGACTGTAGCAGGCAACATGTCCGTTCTCTCCTCTCCTCTCTCTTCTTCTTCTTCCCCCTTTCCCCCCCTTTTCCCCTGATCTCCGTCAGGTATCGGAAACATAGCGGGGAAAAACCGGGACAAGAAGTGTGGATTTTGGTCAAAATGACAAGCGGAGAAATATCAACACAAACCCGGCATGGAGCCCATTCCCACAGGAACCTGATATCGGGGTCACTCGTCCCCTTCTTCGAGAGGCCCCCCTTCCGGCTCTGCCGGCACATCCCAGCTCGAATAGCTGGACCCGACCACTAGCGCCTCCCCATCTCCCGACAGGGCTGGGGAGGCCTCGCCAGCGGAATCTTCCCCCTCCTCGCCGCCCGGCCAGCATAGCCAACATACATGGGTGTATTCGGACTTATCGGGAAGGTGCGTGAACTCCTGAAAGTTTCTAAACTCCCGCCTCCTTCCCACCCAACAACCCTTCGCTCCAGACCTATGGAGCCTGAATATCGCCCCCGGAAGCTCCACGATGACATAACGAGACTTCCTATCTCCACTCGGGGCAGCTTAGCGGCGGGGGCTCCTGTCTTCTGCTCCTCGGGCTCCGTCTCGGGGACCGGCTCCAAAACTATCGGCGGGGCTTGCTCCACTTGGACGGCCCCCGTCCGCCACTTCTCTGCCAGCTTCTCGGCAATCTCGGTGGCCGTCTCCTCCGGCAGCGCGTGGCGATCCTTTAGCCAGTCCTGCAAAAAACTTGCCACCTCACGCTCGTTCGAGGTGTGGGTTTTCCTCTCGGGCCGCCACCGCAAACTTTAGCTGAAGCTTGGCCACCCTTCCGCCATAGATCTGGCGTATGTGTCGGACCCTTCAGGCTTCCATCTGCCCAATAGGTCCTTCTCGGGCCCATTCACGCCCAGGACGCTGAGCCCAGTGGGTAGCACCGACCTCTCGGAGTGCGCCGTCCAAAAACCCTGCACTATTGCAGGCACGGCGTACTCCGCCATCTTCTTCTCGAAAACCGCAAGGTCGGGCTTTAGCCTGGGCAGCAAGTAGTCTCGGCTGAAAGTGACCAGCCACTGTAGCAGCTCGACGCCTATCCGGAGCCACGACGGGCTCTCGAAGAAGGCGGCCTCGCTCACACATAGCGGCATCTCCTTGACGCGCCTATTTGGCCCTGAAGTCTTCGTCTGACGTAGCGCGGTGACCAAGCGGCCCTCCACTAGCTTGAGCTCCCCTGGCCGGATGACCTGGAGGGGACCACCTTAGCGACGCCACGGCGTATCGGGGCGCCCTTCGGATCAACGGCGCCCCCTCGTAGAGGGCTTCCACGATCTTGTGCTTAGCCGCCCACGCTAGGTGGACTTGAGCAAGCTATCCGGGACAGTCCTGGCACAGTGCTCATCCCTTAGCACCAGCAGGTAGTCCAAGGTCTGCCGGCCTACCTTGGCCTCCTGTAGCCATAGCCGCCATAGCGCTTCAAGGTGGAGGAGCGTGTCTTCCCAGGAAGCATCTCGTAGGCTCTATCGGGATCCAAGCATTCCCCTATCGACTTGACGACCGGGGCCCCTATAGCGTCCAGCTCGTTGGCCAGATGGCGCGTCCAGAGCACCTGCAACTTGAGCTCCCTAGCGGCCCCCTCCTCTCCACTGGCCAAGAGCTTCTTCACTTTCTCCCCTGAAGGGGGCCTATCCTCCGCTGCCTTGTCCTCGTTCTTATCGTCCAGCCAAGGTCGTAGAGGGACCCGAGAAGAACTAGCAAGAGGTACCCAGGCAAGGTCCCCCGCTAGCACCCCTCAGTGCGAAGGAGAAGGTCCCGCTCGTCTTTAGCGGCAGCGATTATCTTCACCACCTCCTCGAGTCTGTCTGAGTGCGGTATATTCAACTCGAAGGCTATCTGCCCAGCAATGGCCCAGCTATCCGCCACCTCCAAGGTGGCAATCTCTCGGGGTCCAAAACCCTGAGTCCTCAGGAACCCCGAAATATCAGGCAGCTGATCGGCCATGGCTCTTAGCGCAGGGTTCCCCCTGCGTTTCCTTTCTAACACCTGCGCTCAAAATTTGCCCCCCTTTTCAAGGGGTCTTTATCCGAAACGGC